TAGCGCGATGGTGTGTTGTTCCTAACGCGCTAACGCGTTGTCACCTTGCGCTAACGCGTTGTTCCTAACGCGCTGTTACACTTTTGCAAATGGCCCTATCGGGACACATATATATGTACAAAAAGCGGTTTGTTGCATATCTTTTACTTTCTTGTCTCCAGTGCGTCAGCAAGCGGCGTTTCACTTGAAAAATATATCTTATCAGAGAGTCATATTCAATTTTTTTTCTGTAAATGTTGGCAAGCTGTGGTCAAAACATTTTAATTTCAACAAATTACTTAAAATGCCATTGTATAATAATGGCAAAGTTGCACAGTGATAAATCGTTCGTATTTTTCGTTAAACAGATCCCTTATAATATTAATGGGGAACAACCGTTTTCAGCATTGGTTTTCTAGTGTATACAGTAGAGTCAGTAGTATATGTTAGTAAAATTATGGGGGGCAACCCCCCCCCCCCTTCCTGGTATCTCCTCGTTCGGTTTCTAACGGCCTGTGAAACTTTGTGATCTCGATTCCTAGCCAGATTAGACCTAGGACTAGGAACAGAATGACAGTTACATCGAAAAACTCTCGGAATAGAGAGTCATGTGCATTGAAAATTAATGTGAAAAGGAGAAAAATGTAGATAACCTTTAAAGCATGGTGACTCTATGCATCTTATTTCCAACACACTCTTGACCGTCACGGTAGCTCAGTCGGTAGAGCGCTCGCTCCGTGATAGGGAGGTCGTGTGTTCGAATTACGGCCTATCAAAAATAGGTAGCAACTATTCCTTCGCCAGGCGCTCGGTACTCTGAAGTGAAAGTTGTGGGTCCTTCGGATGAGACCTTAAAAACCGAGGCCCCGAGTCACGGTAGGCATTGATACGATAAAGAACCTTCCCTGCTCAATGGCCCTGAGTACCGAGTAAAGGTCTAAATTTGAAGCCCTTCACCGATGTATGGTGACGTCTCTATATGAGTGAAAAATTCTCGAAAAACAGGGTTTTTCGGGACGTAAAACAACATACAATCAATCCAACAAATCACGATCTCCAAGTATAAGACACACTCTACCGAGTCAAGTCCCAAACACACACCACCAAATCTTAATTTTTCATGAATATTAGATGAAATTTATAGTATACCATAAAAGAGTTTTAAATCTTCCTTGCTGAAACATTTAAATCATCCTTCCTAGTCTACTTCATATAAAGTAGCAGATGAATTTTGTAAATTAGTGTCTATTTTTTTTCCCCACCTTACCTCAGTATATGTCATTTGCTTTGTAGAAACATGAGATTTATTATTAACATCGATAGGTACATAAAATATTTATTTCCCTTTACCTTTTGTTACCTTACCTAACCGTAATGACTTAAAACTTAACATTCATATCCAAGGTAAAATTCTCCTAGATTTCTATGCCCCGCCATGAAAATGACCGGGGCATATAGAGTTTGTCATGTCCGTCTTCCGTCCCACTTTGCGTTTAGCTCAGTTCAAAGCTCAGTTTCAAAAAAAATATTCAAGATATTTTATCAAACTTCCTATGCTGTTAGATATTGATGTAAGCTATTCCACTGCATCAACGTTTTGACCTTTCCTTTGACCTTGACCTCACTTTTCTTTAATTTTCATTTTGTTTAAAGAGACCATGCAAGATATTTTTATGTAAGCATATGCACTTATACAGAGTTTGGTGAGAATTTATTATCTATATCCATTTCTTTTATAATTTCAATTTTAAAGAAACTATTCAAGATATTCTCATCAAACTTCATAAACTAATACAAATTTTCATGTTGCGTTATTAATAAACACTCAGCGGGGCATTCATGTCCTATGGATATATTTCTAGTTTTCTTCTACTTGCCATTCAACATTCTTCTGTAAACAGATGGAAATTTAAATGAAACTTGTAAGTTTAAGACTCATCGTACTCCTATATTATTTTTTTTTTCAAAATCATTGTGGTATTTATTGCATCAAAATAATCATGTCCTGTAAATTTGCAAGATATTTTTATAGATCAAAAAATTATCAAACCTTGTACTGTTTCCTGCTCCGCTGAATCAGTGGATTTCCTTATACTATTCGTGTAATATTAATTGAGAAAGAAAAATAAATCATTGTTACTAGTGATCGCTTTTCAAAACTTTATTTAGATCTGTTGAACAGTTAAGCCAGTTGATTAATCAGTTCAAACTGAAAATGTAGTTATTCATTAATTATACATTGTTGTGAATCATTTTGATGTTTGTTTCGTCTCGCCTTCAATGGGAGGCAAACACTTTCTCACTCCTACTGCATTTGGTCTTCACAATTAACATTTACCTCTGTTTATTTTGATACTAATGCTAGTTTTCACATTCATAATTTCCTTCCATTACTCCCCAGTACGTTTACATGCATTGTTGTTTACTACATACACATTTCCTTCTTCTACTTGGTTACGTGCAGCAAACGGAATTCTCTCATCAATTTTCAACAGCTATGATTTCTTTGAATTTGTAAGATTTTACTTTTTTTTTTTTTTAGATTAGTAATAGTATTTCAAATTCAATATTGAGAACGTTACTATACCAGTACTTTCCTCTGTTTTTTCCCTCCATTATTTGTATACAGTCCTTTGTGTTACGCAATATTAAATGTTTACTTCTAAATCTAGGCCTACTGTGTAAATTCTTCTGTAGTTTTAATTCAAATTAGTATATAACCCTTAAAGTTATTGCACTTTCTTTGTCAAATTGTTGATCATTTAATCTCCATAATTGATGCTTTTAACTATACAACTTAGCACAAGCATGCAAGTAGATATGTGATACGAGTCTCGATTTACACACAGCTAGCAGCGCTGGCAAACTCGAGGTCACAATATCACATCTAGGATCTACATGCGGTTGACAGCCTACAAAACCACTTACTGTAGAATGCATCTGAAAACACAATATTGCTACCCAAGTCCTTCTTTCTTCATAGTTGCAGGCATAATAATTATCTTCAAGATCCTGCGCACTTAAAAAAATGGCGGAAGTGGATGTCACGTGGTTTCTTAAGAGTTGCGCTACCGCATAGTGTTCTTATAAGTGGATTGCGCACATTTATAGAGAAAAAATTTGAAACTTTTATATTTAGGTATAAAGTCATATAAAATGGACCGATGCAATTTTAATCATGAATGAAATATCTATATATTTTAGTAAATAAAGGTCATAGGCGTCGGAACCGGGGGAGGGGGGCTCAGCCCCCCCCCCCCAATTTTTTGCAAAGATAGACATAATATCGCCAATGAAATTGGGCTTGTGTTTGTGCTCGACGTAGAAACTTTTTTGTTGGTTTAGCCCCCCTCCCCCACTTTCAATTTGCTTCCAACACCTATGAAGGTACATTTTGAAAGCAAAAACATTACTCTTTAATAACGGCGAGTGAGAAGTTACGAAGTACAGCATGTATTTTGTTCCACAGCAAAACAATCAGCATTTAAAATGTTTCCACAATTGGGAAATAAATGACATATTTCAGGGTTTTATTGTAGTTAATAAAGTTTATATATTGCAGAGTAAAAACTATCCCTTCCATTGTCATTGGGATGTTATACGACAGTGCAGTAGATTATGACTGGCTTTAAGTCTACACTTCTACCATGTAGGTCGTAAACCGTAGAGTGTGTAGGTAAATTATGAGAATGTTCCCTTTTTTTTTTTTTAAAGTTATGGCAAGTTGTATATATATCTATATATAGGCTGTCGACCAGTTCTCGAAGAGTATGACAAAAACATTGAAGTTTATAAAAAGCACAGTACTAATTAATCTTGGATAGTTTTACTGAAGTGTTTCTTGATCATTATGAACAGCTAGGGCAATCTCCTATGCAGAGTTGTCGTTCGTTCCTCTCTCAGACACCTCAGCATTGTGCTCGCGTCAAGATTTTTGACATGAGGTAAAAAACATGATATTCCAAGGATTATTTCAAATTAAACTAATATTTCTAGATCTACTTAGTAAATATCTACCTTAAAAGACAAACATTATAGTGATGGCATTTAATTATAATGAATTTTAAAACAAACGCACTATTTCTTATGCTTAACACTGTGATATACGTGAGCCAACGACAGAGCTGAATATATGAGCCGATGGTAGTGAATGTATGAGCCGATGGTAGAGAGTGCAGCTAGGGCATTTTTTATTCGACCCAGTTAATTGTTCATTTGAATGAAAAGCAGCAATTTTAGATAAATAAATAAATAAAACAAAAAACAAAAAACCACACACACAATAAAAGTATCTTAACTAGGGGAGGTATTTAGCACAAGAAAAGTGAAAATCATTTGTCATGATTTGCTATTTTCAGAACTATTAACAGAATATTAATGTACAGTCTATTAGATAACAATTTAGCAGTAGGGGGAGGGGGACTGTCAGGCGAAAATTATTTAAAAGTCTTGAACCTGTTTATACCTGTTCATTAAGATGCATTTATCTCACTGTGCTAGATCATGGTGCGTACTAAGAAAACAAAATTTTAGATCAATACCAAGCATTTTCAGAGACACAAATAAAAGATATTTATGGCATTTTATAAATGTGCTCTGGAAATTGTTAAATAAAATCGATTTTTTTTGTATTTAAAAAAGGGGGAAAAGTCACTGGAAATTGTGTATTAAATTGGGAAAATTAGGTAATCATGGTAATGCGAGTAATAAGATATTATAATAAATTATATAAATTTATTCAAAATACAACTATTCCAGTTTATTTAATTGTAGGTTTAACATATGTTTAATACTTGTATATAAACATTGAATGACCTATAATATTAGTGTGTACGCAAATAACTATGATTTATGCACCTTCGATAGCCAGGGGTGTCTGATCCGCTATCTACACTGTAGACTAGCAAAGATGTTATTTATGTCTTTGCGGGCTGCGGCTACTTAACCCAGTTTTTTCGGTTCTCGTTTTACCAACATTCCACACACTAATTGATGACGCTTTCAACAACGCTTCTAAGGAAAGTAGGTCACAACTTTACGCGGTATTTCCGTTCTTGTAAACAATAAGGCATAGCTGATAGCATATTGCAAGATAGGCACACAATATATCCAACCATGGCGTTCGTTTTACAGAACATAAAGGACTTGCTTAGTATTCCAGATAACACTGTTATGCAGCTGACTTTGCCAGCATCTTTGCTTATGTTTGCAGTCACTGTCCCATGGGGCAGGAAAACTCTGATGGACATCACGTCGTTGATATTCGCTGTCAAGGGATTCGGAGCACTACTCTATCCAGAAGCTGTGAATTTCTGGGTAAGCAGACTTCAATGGAATTTGCATATAACACAGTAGTACAAGTGCTTTTTACTTGACATAAAAAAAGTTTGCATCCAGTACAGTATATTTAAATTGTCCAATGTTAGGACTATCTGACTATTAAATATATATTGAAAGTTTTTTTTTGGGGGGGGGGTAAAATTTTCAGTGTTTACCACAGCAGTGTGGATTGAACTGTAGTTAAATAATGAAGTGATGTACCCTCCAACTGCCCTTATCAATAGTTTAATAATTTTTTTTTAAGTTGTGCTAAAATGGTTGAAAGTCTTATATAACTCCATCTACAACAATGGTGCTTGCTCTGTGAGTCTGGTCTTCCTCAACAACATACACTAGAGTACATGCAGTAGAATATGTGGGTTATGTTTTATTATTTAGGCCTTAATTAGTATTTTGTTGGTGTTTATACTTCAGGATAACCAAAAATTTAAAAATTGTGTTTGTTTTCATTATTTTGGAATTAAAGGTTCAGGTTTCAGTTTGCATCTAGTTCTGATTCTGTATATAATTTACATAGACCACAATTCGCCAAGAACATACCCTTTTTAAAAGTATTATGTCACTTTGATTATCAGCTTTATTTTTTATTCTTCTCATAAAAGTGTATGTATCATTTGTAGAATTAACTTAATTGGGTTAATTCCAGATTCATCTGAATAGATAGATATTATTCCATGTCTTTTATTGTGAATTTTGGTCCATCATCACTACATGTATAAATTCATCCTTGAAAATAATCCTTATTTTAATTTAGTGTAAACTTAAATTACATTTTTAAATATTGTACTATATAATGGTGTATTAGTATAACTGGCACAAGATGCTATAACTTTGCCAAAAGATTGTGAAAATGATCAAATAAATGTACTTGATAAAAATTACTGTAACAATAGTTTTACATAATGATGTATGTTTAAGTATTTTATAGAATGAATAGAAATAAACAATATAATTGCATAAAAATAACAAACATTATATAATCAGCGTACACTAAAAGTACTCTATCGTACTTTGTTTAGTAGTACCCTTACTTAGGTACATAGTATGGAGAACAAGGAGCTGTCCAGGCCTGGGAGAGGGGAAGGGTTCAAATGCTTCTTTAGTGCCTTGCCATCCCTTGCCAGGAGTGTGCTTGTTTTTTTTTTCCAAAAACAAAATAAAGGGGAACCCAGAAATGTGACTGGACTGGAGCAATATATAGCTTAATTAAAGCTCATGTTTAGACTATATAGACTTTAAAGATCCAGGTTTAGTTAAATCCTGGTCAGGTCCATCACATCTTCTCCCTTTAATTATATGTTCTTTATCGTGCTTTCCATTTGTTGTATTGAGTTGAGTTTTAGATTTGTCCACAGTAAAGAATATTTATTCTCAGGGCAACAGAGCACATGCACAGGGCAGCATTTCAGTAAACAAGAATTACACTCAAGAGTTGCAGCATATTGATCCATTTTGAACGAAAATGAAGATATTTTCTACTGTTATAACATTTTCTTTAGTGTGCTTTCTATGGGGTTGCATTGAGTTTAGAAAATTTTAGATTTGTTAGGCACCGAGTAATGAACATTCATCATTTCTGATGCAACAGTGCACATGCCCTGGACACTCTCACAATAAACACCAAGTAAAACTGCAGTATGTTGACTCCTTTTGAATAGAAATGAAGGTATTTAATGCTTTGCTCTTTTTCTATTGTTATAACTTATTTACAGTTCAAAAAAGGAGTGGCAGATGGCTTACACTTGCAGGAAATTCGTGACATTGGAATAATCTTGATGGCTCTAGCATTTACTCATTTTATGACACGTAAAAGCAATGATCGAACCATGGAAATCAACTTACTTTGGTCAAGGACTATGGTAATATCCATTAAATTATGAAAGCATCCCTTATCTCCAATACGTCAGTGAGAAATAAATAATTTTTTTTTTAGATTTTATATATCACTAAAGTGAAGATATTATTAAATTGATCTAATGATAAAGGTCCTGACAGATCATTTTAATTCATATTTTGTTTTAAGTTCTTTGGAGCAGTTTTCCTGCTTAATGCTGTACGACTGATAAATTACGACAGCAAGAAAGAAAAAATATCTCTTTATGTAAGTATATGTATTAATATTTAGAAAATATAATCACAGAATACATGTATAATTTTAAAGATGTAACTTTTTTACCAATACTTAATTTTCATTGACCTCTCAAAAGTTCAATATGAGTAAATTTGTTGGAGAATTGAAAGTCTACAACCAGGTCTTTGTATTTCTTTGTGGAAATTGAATTTCTTTACATGATTCCAAAAGTGATAATCTGCAAAACACAGATTTTAAAAAATGTACAGTAAAATTCTATAGAGCATCTTTAATTCTGTAAGAGCTTCTTTGATAGCTAAATAGAAGAAACCATGCAACTGAACAAAGCAAAACATTGTGTAGACATGCCCCGACACAGTTTTTGAGGCATTTAGTAACAAGAAATGCAATCCATGAATGGTTTTTTTTCCCCTCAGGTTGAAAAGCTTGCAGCATTGGTTACTGGGCTGTATTTTGTGGCTTTTCTTTTCTACTCCCTGCGTGAGGATGACTGGGGAGGAAGTACGGAGCAATCAACATCCAAAACTCACTTTCACCTCAGGATAGACTTTGTAATGTTCTTTGTGCATGGGATCATTGCCTACTGCTTTCCTGAATTTATTGCTACATTCCAGGTATGAATTTAAAATTTCAAAGAAAAAAATCTTGAGGAAAAATAATTTATTGAATGTTGTTAAGTTGCTGGTGTACATGTATGTTTAGTGTATGTAGAAAACAAAAATTTTACAGCTTAAGAAACACATGTAATACTCATACACATTACCTTAAACTCTAAGTAGAAAACAAAATAAATTTTTTTAAAAAAATGGTTTTTTTTTTTTTTTTTAGACAAAACTGTCTTCTCTGGACCCTCTGCATGATTACACAGCACGACTCATGGGAGCTGGATTTCTAGCCCTAGGAATGTCATCTGGAAGAGCTAACAATTGCCATCATGAGGAAGACAAAAAATCAGTGCTTCTCGGTCATGGCCTGGTGAGTTTATTCTCTTGAACTGAAATAGGTTAATTTTATCCCATGTTTACTCCTTTATACAGTGGATATAACTCATAGGATATCATTTTTCATACACATGGTTTTGACAAAGCTATGGTTTTGGCATGAATTTGATCAAGTCAAATATTGTAAATTTACATATATATCTCAATGTAAAACATGAAATAGCTTTGTGTAAACCATGTGATAAAAAGAATCTCCCATGGTTTGTGGTTAGATATGATTTTATCCAACTTGTGTGTTTTTATCCCCTTGCCAATGCTCAGGGATAAACATATTAATCTTTGAATAAGAAATCATATCTGATCACAAATCATGGGAGATCCTATATCTATATCTATATATATATATATATATATATATATATATATATATATATATATATATATATATATATATATATATATATATATTAGAATTAAACATGTTTGCTGCATAAGTACATGTATATTGATCCTCTTACTTGTAAGTTAAAGAAACTCTCTGGCCTGAAGTGAATGAAAGTTATTATACCCCCTCTTTCCTACAGAGAAATTTATAGAATTTACAGCTTGAAATTTGATAAAGAGCTTTGAAAATACCTTTAATACAATATCTGTGGTGCCAACAGGGATTTGAATCTGATATGAAGATAACCTGAAATGCCATTGACCACTCAGTCATCTGTTCTGAATGCTACTGTATTATTTAATAAATACGCATCATATTTACTTTTTTAAATATAATATTCCAGGCAAATGGGTTGTTTTTTCTGACCATGTTGTTATGTCAGTTATTCTCTGACATATTCTCTCAGTGGCATGTCTATGGAATGTGCATAGTCCTTCTGGCTGCCGTGAATGACTTTGTCGGATGCGAGATAAATGCCATGGTACAGAACTTCAAGAGAGAACTCTCATCTACAAAAGAAGAGTAAACTAGTCTTCACAACCAATAAATAACAAGTTTGATTCGTAAAAAATAGTATACATGTAGATTCTTTAAATCTGAAAGAAAAATAGAATGTTTCTCCAAATTAAATTGTGTCAATATTGTAAGTTGCTCTTCTCATGCTTTTTATTTTATGAAAATTTTCAAGAGATATTTATAATATTCAGTATTGGCTTTTGGCTTGTATACTCCAAATCCTCATATTGCAGCATATTTTCTGACAGACTGATAATTTTGTTCACATATATTGGACTTACTAGTAATTGAATCAAACCAAACAAACTCTGGTACTTACCTTGTAACTGTAGTGGCCTTAGCTCTTGTTGTAAAACTTTTATAAATGATCGATTGTTGTATTTTTGTTGTTTCTGTTTTGAGTTCACATTTATTTGTAGTGTATTCCTAGTAATTGTTGCTTACTTGTGCAAAACATCTCACCAATATAAAGTTCAAAAAGGCCTGTATTAAATTATTCTGAATTTTTGTATTAACTTTAAAGTATGATGCAACAAGCAAGTAACCATTACAATAATTTTCAATGATAATCTTTTGAAAGTTTACATAATGCCAAGTACGTACTTTGTCCTTTTTTTAATGTGCTAATTCATTATTACTGCCAAAATATAAATTTGCATGGTATAAATGTAGGCACCTAGTGCTAATTTAGGATTGTGCTATTAGGTCCATGACCTGCTAACATGCTTAATTTAATATATCGCAGTTCACCTAATGTTTAAAATATTAGCCAATCTTTGTTTATTTTTTTCCCAATATGTGTATAATACATGACATTCTTTTTCATTCTGTTTGATCAGTAAGGGTAATTGGGTGAATGGTAATAAAAGTATCAATTATACATCTATGATGAAAGCTTTATTGCTCAATTTTCAGAATTGTTAGTGAACTTTATACTGGGTCTTTTTTTTTAACCAATGTATACTCTATGTTTCATTTTACAGAACGGGAAATTTTCATGTAATGTACATTGTAGCTTTCTTGTAAAATTCACTTGTATATTTCCACACAGTTTCATGTTCACTGGGAGTGGGTACAGAAGATAAATGTTTGAAGACTACTTTAAATTGTTCCTTGGATTGCCAGTCAAACTTAAACACTATATTTACATCTCTCCATTTTCAGCAATGCAATCAAAACACTTGTGTTTACTTTTTTCAGTCATATGATATATGCCAGCATTAGGTGCCTTATTTTTTCTGTTTATATAAATGCCTTAGAAATATATGTAATATAAATGTTTGTTGGTTAAAATCAATCAAGTACGCAAAGCTATTTGTTTTAATGCCTTTTTACAGACTTTTCCTATAACCAAGGTCATTGTATTTGTTCAGCTATATGAGATGGAGACCATTTTCACAGGGCAGCAAAGTTATCTATACTCTATTTCAAATAAAGCTTTTTATTTTCATATCTTCATTTATTGTTTTTATAACATCGAAATGAAGTTGCAAACTTAGTTACTGTACATTGTAAATAATCATGAGGCAGCAACACAAATTAATTCAACCACCAAACAGGGTAATTTGAAGCAAAAATTCAGGCAGGGAATTGTGGCAAAGTTTATTTAAGATATTGTTCTGTGGAGCTTATCATCTTGCTCTTTTCATAATAAACCGACAGGAAAAACAAGTACAACTGTACATGCAGATGCGAGTCTAAACAAAAGGGAAGATGATTTTTAGGGGTCCCTGACATCATTCTTAATAATTTCTTATAAAATTTTTTTGTTATAAAACATATATCTAATGGATATTGTATCCAACAGAAGTTGAGAATAATGAAATTTACATCTTTCATAGTGAATTTTTATGGTTCCAATAAAGTAAAGATATTAAACTGACATCTTTCATTGAGTGTTCAACATTTTACTTAACACATACCTTGGTATCATGTTGGTACTGAATCATATTTTACAATGCTTTAAGGACATACGCAACGTACCTAATACCTACTGATATTTTTTCAAGATTTCTTAATTTAAGATTATTGTGTCTTCAGATGTTCGTAGACAAAAAATTAGCATGCATTACCAGGGGTTTTGAAAAGATATCAATTCATGAAAATTTTTGTATAATTCAAAGAAAAATATACAAAAATTACTAAACATATATTCTAGATGTTTTGTTTATCCAGACTTGTTTTAAAAGAAATGTAGAACATCATATATAGACAATAAAATGTAGCACACAGTTCCTTTAAGTATTGGAACTCTTCAACTCCAGGGAAAAAGACAAAGTTCAAACTACGTTGCTTATGTCCTTAACTGTGATGATTACTTAGGCCTCGGTTTCCAGTAACTTAACTTTTACACACTCATTACAATTTAAAATTTTATGTATTTAAAACTTCAATCAGCATATTCAGTTGTACCAAGAACTATATTGCAAATCTGTTATATACTAGTACATGGATACATTTACTGATTCTATGAAAATAACGATTTACGGATATAGCAGAGTTAATCCTCAAGTCTCCATGACTCCAGTATAACCGAGTTTTACTGTTTCATAAATGCACACACAATTTATGACTTTATCTACAAGTATCAGTTGAAAGAAGGGTGCATTCTTTACACTGAACTCATAGGAAAGTATGCATTTTAAACATGGAGTCTGTTTATTTCAGATATTTAAATCTTGCTAGAACTAAAGTACATGAATGAGAAAAAAGGAAAAATAAATCCCTTGTAGTTGGCATATAAAACAGTAAAAAAAATTAAACAAAAGGAGATTTTCTTTGAAAACTGATATACATGTCTCAGAAAACATTAATATGGACATCCTTTAAAACGTATGCAGTATTTAAAATCCGAATAGAATTGAAAGTACTACACATCTATAACAAGAGGCCCATGGGCCACATCGCTCACCTGAGTAACTTTGGCCATGCTGTTCTTTACCAGATTTCCACCCTTTTAATATACCTATTGTGGCCCCGCCCTACCCTCGGGGGTCATGATTTGAACAATTTAGAATCTACACTACCTCAGGATGCTTCCAAATAAGTTTCAGCTTTATTGGTCCAGTGGTTCTTGAAAAGAAGATTTTGAAAGATTTTTCTTATATATTTCAATGTAAAACTTGGATTCCCTACTGTGGCCCCGCCCTACCCCCAGGGGTCATGATTTGAATAATTTATAATCTACACTACTCCAGGAGGCTTCCATATAAGTTTCAGCTTTTCTGGCCCAGTGGTTCTTGAGAAGAAGATTTGTAAAGATTTTTCTTATGTATTTCAATGTAAAACTTGGATTCCCTATTATGGCCCCGCCTACCCCCGGGGGTCATGATTTGAACAATTTATAATCTACACTACCCCAGAATGCTTCCATATAAGTTTCAGTTTTTCTGGCCCAGTGGTTCTTGAGAAGAAGATTTGTAAAAATTTTTCTTATGTATTTCAATGTAAAACTTGGATTCCCTACTGTGGCCCCGCCCTACCCCCGGGGTCATGATTTGAACAATTTAGATTCTACACTACCCCAGGATGCTTCCATATAAGTTTCAATATTTCTGACCCAGTGGTTCTTGAGAAGAAGATTTGTAAAGATTTTTCTTATATATTTCAATGTAAAACTTGGATTCCCTGCTGTGGCCCCGTCCTACCCCCGGGGGTCATGATTTGAACAATTTAGATTCTACACTACCCCAGGATGCTTCCATATAAGTTTCAGTATTTCTTGCCCAGTGGTTCTTGAGAAGAAGATTTGTAAAGATTTTTTCTATATATTTCAATGTAAAACTTGGATTCCCTATTGTGGCCCCGCCCTACCCCCGGGGGTCATGATTTGAATAATTTAGATTCTACACTACCCCAGGATGCTGCCATATAAGTTTCAGTATTTCTGGCCCAGTGGTTCTTGAGAAGAAGATTTTTTAAGATTTTTCCTATATATTTCAATGTAAAACTTGGATTCCCTATTGTGGCCCCGCCCTACCCCCAGGGGTCATGATTTGAACAATTTATAATCTACACTATCCCAGGATGCTTTCATATAAGTTTCAGCTTTTCTGGCGCAGTGGTTCTTGAGAAGAAGATTTTTTAATGACCCCACCCTATTTTTGTCTTCTCTTGATTATCTCCCCTTGTGAGGGGACTTGGCCCTTCATTTTAACAATTTAAATTCCCCTTCACCCAAGGATGCTTTGTACCAAGTTTGGTCAAAATTGGCCCAGTGGTTCTTGAGAAGAAGTCAAAAATGTGAAAAGTTTACAGACGGATGGATAGACAGACAGACGGACGGACGACGGATAAAATGTGATCAGAAAAGCTCATTTGAGCCTTCGGCTCAAGTGAGCTAAAAATAGTGTACTGGGTACATCTCTAAATGCAAAAACCAAGGGAGGCAGAATTGATAATTTTCAAGTACTGAAACACATTTTTTCATAATGTGGGCTGTTGCACTATTTCAATAAAAGTACATCTCTTTAATTAAAATCTCAAAATATAGATTTTTTATTTGACAAAAGAGGTGAGAATCCACTATCTATTTAAAGTACAATTTTATAACAGAAACGCCATGTCTTTTGTGAAACTATTGAAGTGCAGTTATTTGAGAGTCATAAAAAAAAGAATAGAATATACCACCTGTTCAAGATGCATGATAAGTTCCATGGACAAGTGGTTCAGCATCATCAACAACTTAAACATGCCCTTTTTTCCCCTTTTCTTTTTTAACCAAAGAATGAATGTGCTCACAAAATGTTTAGTAAAAAAAGACTATTTGTTGAATTAAATTTTTATTTCATTAAAAACAAAGCCAAAAAAAAAAATCATTTTTACACATAAATACCATAGTTATTTCCTATGCTTTTTCAACATTCTTTGCACACAGTCAGACTGACAAACCTAAAAAAAATATTATGCTACCAACCTCAGGGTTTTAAAGGCATGTGCTTTATACATGTATAACAGTATTCATCTTCCAATATTGTGAAAATTATTTTTTAATCAAAAGGTTGAAACCATTGGTAACAATTAAGGTTGGTAGTATAATCAGAAATTTCCAAATTTAAATCAAGTACATGTAATTTGAAATTGAAGAATTTTTAAGAAAAATTACAAACAATCTCTCAAACAACAAGAAACTTAAACTCTGAATATAACAATCTTGTTTGGTGCATTTAATCAACATTATCTTCAGAGTGTATAATTTCTACATTGCACCATCTTTGCCTGTGTAAGTAATATGAAACAAAGAAGCTTGAATACTGATAATTTAATAAAAAGAGTTGTTCAATATAAAGTGAACACTTATTACCACTACCATGAACCTCAGGAAATGGATAAATAAAACACATTCATACTCTTCATACTTCATTTATAAAATGGAAATCTTGCCAGAATCGATAAATTGCACTGATGCAATTTACATGCTTCCAATCTCGAGAACTCCAAAAACATCAATCATCTACTTTGCATCCCAAAATTGTTCACACATTATCAAGTTACACATTTGTTTAACAAGTGCTTGATCTCTGAGTTGGTGTCAATATCCATCACTGTAAGGCCTTCCATGTCCTGTAACTCAAGATTTACTTTAGTCTTCAGCAGTCTCTCCACAATTTCCTGGTGCTCACAACTAACAGCTGTAGAGAACGAAATGGAAAACAGTCAAATTTACTGCATATTACAATTAAGTGTTGCAAAAATGTTTCAAATATTCTACATAATTTATACAAGTTAAAGCATTGCTACTTGCCATAATGGAGTGCACTCTGTCCATCACTGTCCTATTTAAAACAAAACAAATGCAGTGTTATCAAGTGAAAAGTGCTGACCCATAATCAGAATCTAGCAAAATCATTCAAAAGTGTTTTTAAACATCTATTTCCACAAAAATTGCTTTTAATGTATATTTGAACAAAGAATAAATTGGCGAAAATTAAAGTGGATTTTAAACTAATAGATGCATCATAAACCTGTATATTTGGATCAGCATCAAGCCCAAGAAGTGCATTCAACATATCCAGATTTCCTCTATCACATGTCCAGTGCAGAAGGGTCATTCCCTGTCAAAAGCCAAAGGCATTAAGGGAAACGATCACATCTATACTGATATAAAGAGAACAAATCTGTATTTTTCTTACATTTTCATCTTTACTATTAACATCAGTTTTAGACTTCTTCAGGTATTGAAGAAGATGACTGGTGTCACCATCCTTGCACCAATCAAAAGCCGTCTTGTTCTCATCTTTTATCACAGATTCTGTATTAGACAATGTGCTGACAGCTACCCATCCATCACCCTGCTGTTTCTTATCTGCCTGTTGTATTCAAATAGAGCTTATTATATATTCATTTATCAGGGGTTGAAATATATGGTAGCCCGACGCCCGGGGCTAGTCAATTTAAGACTCGGACTAGCTAATTTAAATGTAATGATAGTCCATCGGACTAGCAGAATGGAAAAAAAATTCTCGTCAGTTTACTTTTGCTTATCTATGTAGACTGGTTTCTTTTGAATAAGAACTACATTGTAGTTTAATTTGCTTCTGTCACCACAGTATTTGAAACTTTAATTTAACTTGCTATGTTTTCATTTTGCATAAAAAAATTTTTGGGCTAATTAGTTTGAGGTTTGGGCTAGTAATTTTTTACTGATCAGTAGCCCCTGGGCTAGTGGGTTTTACAGGAAAATTTCAACCCCTGCATTTATCAATACAAATGCACATACATATTTTTCATTGTTTACATTTGCAATCATCATTCAGTTCACGAAATTGCATGAAGTTATTAATGAATGGCACATATAGTTCATTTCACAAAGTGTAAATCATATATCAAAAACAATATACAAATGGAAATGTTTTTAATTTAGTTTAAGCATCACGTTATCAAAGACAGTAATGAATGTCAAACAACTAAAAAATCAATCCATCAATATTGCAGTGTGTACACAAAATGATTTTTCCACTCATATGTGACTTGTCTGCCTCACCCCCAATACAAACAATTTTCATATACACATAATATTACATAACACACCTACCAAATTCCACCCTGGCACCACTGTCTTAACTTTTGATACGTATTCCCTCTTTGCTTCTTCTTTGGTTTTGTTTCCTAAGCTTTTCCATGCCTCCCTGGAATACACATTTATACTTTATACCGTATATACTCGCCTATAAGTCGGTTTTTTGGGAGTTAAAATTTGGTCCAAAACTCTATGTCCGACTTATAGGCGAGTCATAAAAAGATTTGTATTTTTCTGGAGAGCGAAATGTAGTATTTTATAAACATTTCCAATGATTTTCACTGAACAATGTCTGGATATATTATATCATTTATGTATTCTAAGATTACACATAAACACAAGTATTTACATATTTTAATAATTTTATTTTTATCTTTAAGTGTGTATTATATATTTTTCTTATGATTTAAAATTAAATATCGGCGTCATTTCTAAAAATATTGATCAAAACCAGGTTAAAACATTACACCATTGATTTGAAATTGTCAACTGATTCTGGCAAAAAGTTGTACCGACTTATAAGCGGGTCAGTGGCAAATTCCTCCAAAGTAACCTCAAAAAATACAACCGACTTATAGGCGGACCGACTTATAGCCGAGTATATACTATAATTTGGTTTTTAAAAAAATCATTATTATCAAGTTCAAGTACTAGAGAGAATACAATTCTTAAGTGTTCATCTGAACCATTTACATGAAAGATACACATAGTGGAGAAGCAAGATGAACATTTTCTGAGAATACTGCTTATTTAGTAAATCAGTCTTAGTATGAACAAGATAATATAATTTTGAATTGATTTCCTTTGGAAAAGGGCATGGCCCTGCACTTGAACTTTGAACTTTATTAAATCTTTCTTAGAATGCTTTGTCACAAGTTTGATTGAAATTGGCCCTGTGGTTCTGGAAAGAATGAAAATGTAAAGGTTTACATGCAAAACACTACAGAAAGATGCCAGACTTTGGTCAGAAGCTCACTTGAGCATTCAGCTACAGCAAGTTAATGAAATAAGATAATTTCTTTTAGCTTATTAATAATACCATTTTTTCTTCCCTTGGAAATCAAACATCCCTGGTTTTGAAACATTGCAGGGTCCTTCATTTGCCTGTGTTAAAAAAACAAGAAGAAAGATTGATTGTTAAAAAAATAATAAGGTAATCTTTTGGCAACTTTAAAATACAGGTACACTAAATGCGTGAACTGTCATTTATGAATATTTTCATCCAAACTCTTGTATTAGATGGTTAGTGAATGATGAAAAATGTGGACCAATGAAACTCCTAGTGTGCTGAAACAAACCTTAAAATACAAAAAAGAACTTGACATTTTAGATAATTTTACTGTCTTTAACATGTACATGTATTATAACTTAGGAAATGGACAAAATTATGTCTTAAAATGATAAAAATATACATGCACTAAAATTATGAGACAATGTTGGCCAAGATTTCCTGAATATTCGTAGTCATATGACATGGCACTATTTTGTTGCACAGTTGAAATTGCTGGGTGACCATAAATACCAGGGTTTTCAACTCAAGTCATATCCAGATTGAGTGACTCATATCCAAGCCAACTCGAACCCAATCAGTCAACTTGTAATCATAAGGAGGAAGTCAAATCTTAACCAAGATTCTGGTTACGATTTGACACCTGTCTATCATATTGGGTTTCTTTAATAGGGTTTATAAATACTCATACAATTTGTTGTAATAATTCATAATTTTAAAATTCTGAGAGGCATGAAATGAAATTTTTCCATATCATAGTCTATTACATAATGCAGTAAAACTCAGTTATATGGATTTAAGTCCTTGAGACCTTGAATTGTAGGATATAACTATAAGACATGACTTGTTCCCTCAAAAACAGAAAGTCAGCTCATAACCTGGGTCTATCGTGTGAGTTGACTTTAATTCGCATTTCTGTTACGAGCTGAAGTGTAGGATTCAATTTGACTTGGTTATGAGTTGGTCAGTTTACGAGTTGACTAGATACCACACAAGGCCTCAGCCTCACTGTATTTTAAAATGTTATACATTGTAGTAGTGTAGCAAAATAAAGTGGATCTGCTTCAGTTTGATATTGGGGAATTCATGTATAAACAAAGTTGCAACAAAAAAAGCACCAATTCAATCTTAAATTTTAGGTAAATTAAATTAATCTGCTACATAATCAAAACTCACTGCAGTGTTTGTACTAAAACTGTAGATTACTATAATCAAGTCCCAGTTTTTGGCTACTTTGAAAATACAGGCACCTGATGTTACTTATTTTTCTTTTAATAAAAAAATATACCCTCCTACCTAATGACAAAATTTACTTAACCATATGAAACAACGAATCTACATCAACTGGTGTATGTAGTTCATTATCTGTATGTGGATCAAGTTGTTGCAAAATATCATGATGTATGTACAAAATACTGTCCCAATATTCAATGATACCATCTGTTGTCATGTAAAGGTGTTATATTTTAAAAACATATGTGTATTTTCAAGAAATATCAATATTTTTTAATCAAGCACTCATGAATGTTTTAACATGGCAGTCTAGCTCCCTTGTTACATTTGATAAAATGCTTTTTGCTTTAATTATAACCAAAATGGAGATTAATCATTACTATTCTATATTATAGAGCACTTTATCATGAATATGTTGTCAATTATGTGCCAGTTTATCGTTTAACAAGTTCCTGTAATTATCAAAGCCTATGTGGATACAAAATTCCAGCGCCCTGAGAAAATATACATCGACACTTTCAGATTGTACTACTTTTAGAGAATTAAACAACTGGGCTATTTAACATTTGTTTCATACACTTGACGATTTGAGGAAATTCGAGATGAAATACACATAAACAATCATGACAAATTTTATACTCTCAAGTGTATACCTGTTTAAATCGGGCATACAAGTATAGTAGCTGGTCTTGATTAAAATTGCTAGTGGATGAACGAACAAAATTTGTTGCTAGTTGGAAGAGCTTGCTTAATTCATCAACTTCATCGCCATCATCCGAGGAAACTCCAACCTCGTCGTCTGCCATCTTCTTGTAATCTTCAAACCAAACCCGTTAAGTTTCCGGAAAATATTTTTGGTAGTTAAAAAAAAAAAAAATAAGGAATACTATTGGATACTGCAATATACCCACACCAGTAAGAAAAATTTGAACCAACATTTATATTTTAAATAAGACTCAACAGGGCAGAATCCCTTGCAAAATGTACCCTTGTCAGTCCTAATCTTTTGCCAACATGATTGTCCAAAATAGTAATCTTTAGATTGTATCTTAATATCATTTGACCTTTTCATCCTAAAATCAGGACTTTTTCAACAGTTGCACAGCCACCATGAGATTGATAGGTCAAGAGTTGCGAGGCTCAGCATACACCTTTCTTTAGACATTGACCTTTTGATTCTGAAAACCAAAGGGCACCTCCCTGGCCACCTACCCTGATGCCTCTATACCGGTACATCTGGTATGACTGACAGACCCAGAAAAATTGTTAAATTGTGCCTACATCTAATTCTACATCTTTCAATGTCTTTGAACTTGCTCTCAATAGGCTTCTTCCTCTGGCCACCATGCTTTCCTTGTGAAAAGTAAAACCTATCACTGATTATCCCTAGAATCAATGAATCAATAAACTTCTTTCTCTACCATGCATACATCTCTGGCAATTTATGGCTGAAAGGTTTTGTGGAAATCTTTTTCTGCCCACGAATAGACATGGAATCAACATATGCATTGAGCATAAGGAGTTGATCCTTAAGTGGCGGGTTCGAATCCAATGTATGAAGCGGAGACCAATCCTTTGGATGAGACTGTATAACCAGAGGTCCTGTGTCTCTGTAAGTGCTGGCATAAACAAGATCTATAAATGCTCCAAGTTGTAAGTGCCGGGTACAGGTCTAAATTTGCAAACTCTCCTTGAAAGTAGTTTCGTCTCAATATGAGAGTAAAATCTGAAAATTCTCTAAGGGATGTTAAACAAACAATTGCTAAAGGATACAATTTTTGTCTAATAAAGAAAGAAGGGGTTAATAAGGTCTTGGATTTAAGTGGCAATATATAAAGATCCCTACTCTTTCAAACCAATGTAATAAATTCACAGGTAATTGTTACTTCCTTTTTCGTAAGTTTATCTGTTTCTAGGGCTGTCATGGTTCCCTGAAATAACCGAAAAGCGCGGTCAAGTTGTTCCGTTTGGTTCCATTTTCGGATTTTGGTTCAGGTCTTGTTTATATAATAGAATCTGATTCATATAAAAAATGGTGTCAAAATCAAAAGTATGATGATGATAAAGATAGAAGTTATAAATAAACATCACAACTGAAATTTACTTCATCCATGACAAAGTAATTGCATTAATTGAAAGGATGGTTATGTTGTAGCAAATAGTCAAGAAAGGATTGGATAATTATCAAAACAAGCAAGAGTGGTCATGTTGTAGCAAATAGTCATGAAAGGATGGGATAATTATTGAAATGAACAGGTGTGGTCATGTTGTAGCAAAAAGTCGACCTTGTAGCCCTAAACGTCAAGATGTTAACATGGTCAAGACTTTTTGAAGGTGAATTACATGTAACAAATGAAGATTTTTCAAGTTTAATTCATGAAATCAAACTTTAATAAAATATAAATAACACACCTCCCAACCTTATCAATATTCAGGGTCATGAACCCAAGGGAGCATTCATTGCAACAGATAATTATTTCCACAAAGAGAGACAACTCAAGAATTTTTTAATGGTATAGTCAATTTCTTTTATCAATTTACATACACCAATCTGAAATTTGTAAAGTGTAATTGATTGTAAAAAAAAAAAAAAAAAAAGAAAAGAAAAGAAAAGAAATTATCATGGTTTCATAACCTTTATTTAATTCATCAGGATCACATCTGATCAATGTTTATGTTGAGTTAGTATAAACATAACAACAACACAGTCTATCTAATTTCACTATACATGAATGTGCAGCTTGATTTCCATTTAATAAATATCCTGATTTTCAAGTATACAGCATTTGATTTTTTCATGTGTACCTGGTAGATTATTAATAAATATTTCTGGAAGGTATCTACCTACAAAATTACATTCAGTTAATATTTGGTTAAAGTTAAATTATTTAACAAAAAATGTACATACAGGTATGTACAAAATTTATAACTCAGGACTCGTATATAAAAATATGGCAATGTGAACAAACATCACGTATTCATTTTTATTTACAAGAAATGAACTCCTACAGGTAGACAGACAATGGAATGTTGTACAACAAAAGAAGTTGTAAATTACAGAGCATATGTTATAATAAAAATTAAATTGTGTATCTATGAAGAATAAATTTTTAAATAATATTTAGATATCCTTCACAAGCTCCCTAAATTTTAAACAACTTATAATAAACAAAACTAAATACATGTACATGTACCTACTGAATTCTAGTTTTTTTCCTCCCTATTTAAACAGATTCAAGTTCCATTTTTTAAAATAATAAATCTAAATAAAAGCCACTGAAAGACTAACATTGTGTTTCTTTCTTTTCCCGATAATCTGTTTTAAAATACATGTGTAATTAAAATACCTAATACATGTACACATGTATATTAGACATGCAGTACCAGTGAGAGCTAGTTATAGTCCCCTTCTTTTTCCCAAACATATTCTACTACTGTTTTATAATTAAATAAAATATGAAGACACTAGTTTAATGTTACATAATATTTTGTAAACTATGGACTCTCTGAATAGGCAAATTCTTCTTTTCTTAGGAAGGGATCCTCAAATGATGTTTGGACAGTTATTAAGAATAGAAAAGATTCATCCCAATCCTCAGGAATTCAGCAATCATTTGTTACATTGCCTGGAAAATATAAATGCAATAATATATAAATTGCTTTATTTATAATGCATCATCCATTAATTTGAATCAATATAATACAGTTAAACCTTATTATCTTGAGATATTCAAGGGGTTGAGAGCTTGAGGGTAAGATACAAAGAAGAAAAATGTGGTTCAAGGGACTTCAAAATGACTTTGACATCTCCATAGTGATCAAGATATCACTCAGTGTTTGAGATACCAAAGTTGAACCCTAAACTGAGTATATAAAAAAATCATACTATCATATCAATAACAGTGTGCCCCTTTGTTAGATCAAGTATGCTTAAATTTCACATGTTGAGCACCATATTTCTCATTGACTAGATGTTAAATTTCAATGAAATGAATACTACTTTGCATATGAAATAGAGAATCCAGCAGTACACTGATAATACTGAGCAGTCGCACCGAATGATTGTTTACAATGACAGCATTTGTAATAAGCAACAACACATGGTCAGTCAAAACCATTGTTGGCTTCTCTGTTCATGTGCAAAATAGTATTTCTTATTATTGAAATTAAATGTCCAATCAATGAAAAATATGGTGATCAACATGTGAAACTGCATGCTTTATCAAACAAAGTGACATGCTGTTATTGGAATAGTAGTATATGCCATATATGGATGCAAAATCAATTCATTATTATACAGTTAAAGTATATCATTGAGGGAGTTAGCAAGATTCTAGTTCCCCAAGGCCAGGACTACTTCCCAAGGCGAAGCCGAGGGAAATAGTCCTGGTCGAGGGGAACTGGAATTTTGCTAACTCCCTCAATGATATACTTTTAACTGTTTTATTATACCGATAAAAACGTAAAATTTAGAGGATTCAGATAGCATGATTTCAAAGCAGGGATTAGCTCACTGAACTAACACATGAGGATTAGTCCATTCACATATCATACCAATGTTAAAGTAAAACCTAGAGGATTACAGATAGCCGGGAATTAGCTTTCGAAGCAGAGATTAGCTCACTTGACTAACACACAGGAATTAGTCCATTCTTAACGATTTCTAGGGAAATAATCACATCTAATGATCTAATGTTATATAGGGAAAAAATCAGTAGAGGTATAATAATGTTCATCAACAATATGCATGAGAAAAATATTTGTACAAAATGAACCAATTAAATATAAATAAATCATATGCATTTCCAAGTGTTAGCAAATCATTTATCTAGGTAATACTGATGAATGTCAACATACCCCAGGTAGTCGACATTGTTTGATTTTAAGATACTGAAGTTTAGCTGTACATAATTAGACGGCACTTCAAATGTTTCTCAACAACACACAATTTTCACATGTGTTGTAATGATAAGAGTTAAGCCCCTTTTCTATGCCCCAAAATATTGTTTTCCTTTCTCTGATATTTGTAGATATTTTAACCACATACAGTTTGTGAACTCTGTTGATTATTTATAACCAGCTATTTTAAGTTGCAACTAGTTTGATGTTTAAAGATTAATTGAAAGACAGAAAGATAAAAAACAAACTTAAGTCTCCTTAAAATTGGAAATAAAATTATGAAAACTTATTTTAGCCCCCTCTTCGCCTAAGATCCATGAAATGAACAAAAAGGATTTTTCAATATTTACATAAGATCCCCCCTCCTTAACTATTTCCAGATAAATATTTTACCCCTAATTATGGCCCATCCTTAACCCTAGATTATGGGATTCTTTACTAAGATGAATTTATTCATGCATAATAATATGATTTATGGTAGGCCTGACTTTTAAAAGGCTTTTACCCTAAATATTTCAAAATAAAACTTTGATCCCCCACTGTAGCCCTACACTACCCACAGGGAATATGGTTCGAACAAATCTGAATCTGCTCTGCACTATCTCAGAGGATGCTAGCAAGATAATACGAGTATAATGACTTATCAAGACCTGTCTGTTCTTGACAAGAATTAAGATTTTAACAAGAGGCCCATGGGTTCACCAAAGCACATCGGCTAGGAAAAAGCACAAATCAGTTCAGTATTGAAAAGTTTACTTGGGGGGGGGGGGGGGGGGAATTTTTATACTACTTGAGGATGCCTCAATATCCATATAGCATATAACTTTGCTGTTCTTGAGAAGAAGATTTTTAAAGATTTTTTAAAGATTTTTTTACCCAGTATACTACTTTGTAAAACTTGATCCCCCATTGTGGCCCCTCCCTACCCCAGGGGTCACGATTTAAACAAATTTGAATCTTCACTACATGAGGATGCTTACATGTCAATATGACTAAACATAGTTTTACTCTTCTTGAGAAGAAGATTTTTTTCCTCTATTTTCTTATGTAAAACTTTGATCCCCCATTGTGGCCCCACCTTACCTCTGGGGGTCATGATTTGAACAAAATTGAATCTACACTACCTGAGGATGCTTCCACATGAAAATCACCAATCATGGCTTTGCTGTTCTTGAGAAGAAGATTTTTAAAGATTTTTCTATGTAAAATTTGATTGGCCATTATGACCCCACCTTATTCCCAGGGGTCATGATTTGAACAAACTTGAATCTACACTACCTAAGAATGCTTCCATATAAATATCACCAATCATGGCTTTACTGTTCATGAGAAGATGATTTTTAAGAATTTTTCCTATATATTTCTATGTAAAACTTTGATTGGCTATTATGGCCCCACCCTATCCCCAGGGTTCATGATTTGAACAAATCTAAATCTACACTACCTATATAAGGATGCTTCCATATAAGTATCATTAACCATGCTTTACTGTTCTTGAGAAGAAGATTTTTAAGAATTTTTCCTATATATTTCTATGTAAAACTTTGATTGGCTATTATGGCCTCACCCTACCCCTGGGGATTTGAACAAACCTGAATCTACATTTTGTCAAGAAGCTTTCACTTAAATTTATTTTTTTTTCTAGCCCTCCGGTTCTTGAGAAGATTTTTAAATACAGCCAATTTTCACTATTTCTTAGTTATCTCCCCTTGAAAGAGGGAGTGGCCCTTCATTTGAACAAATTTGAATTCCCTTTACCCAAGGATAATCTGTGCCAAGTTTGTTTGAAATTGGCCCAGTGGTTCTTGAGAAGAAGATGAAAATGTGAAAAGTTTACAATGACAACAACGATAGACAACAGACAAATTTTGATCAGAAAAGCTACCTTGAGCTACAGGGACTTGAGACAATCTTAGCAAAATCGGGTATATAGCTATGGTATAATAGGGGAGCCCTTTTATACTATATACCTGATTTTGCTAAGACTGTCTCAAGTCCCTATGCCTTGAGCCTTTGACTCAGTTGAGCTAAAAAAAAATGCCTCATTTTTTTCTGACTGGCAAAATTACAATTGTTCTTTCTATTTAATTGCTATAATCTATTTACATCAATAACATACCATCACCACTTATAAACATACCTTCTCTTTGGACCGAACCTCCTTTCTTATTCTCATGGTTTATGCTTGCATCAGATAAATTGTTTTGTTACAGCTGAAATACATATATGAATAATAAATTAATACAATCCTCTTAACTTAATTAGTGCAAATAAAATATATGCATGTATTTGCAGTTTGATCACAAACAGAACTGCATGAATGAACAATACTGACAAATTGCATTGCACTAGTTGCAAATCATACAAATATGTAAATCATTTTAAGTGTGCAGAATATGCTGAACCATGTAATGGTATAATTTGCAGTTCAAAAAATTGTTTGCATAAACATACAGCCAAGTGACGTCTTTTACTGTTTATTTCTATTTTTTTTTTAAATCTCATTTAATGGTAAATTTCTCTGCATATAAACTCACTGCAATGCAGCATGATGTGATTAACCTTTTTGCGTTTTTTGACCCATTCTGTATTACCGAGGTATCTGTTGAAAGAAAAAAAAAAAACAGAATGTGAATAAATCATTTGAACAAAGCAAAAAAAGTAATGGATGCATGATTTTCAATTATCAAAATTCCTCCCTCTCTCTATCTCTCTGACAAATTATCAACAGGATTTTTTTCATAGATACACATGTATAACAGATATTGGTGCAACTGAGCAAAATTAAAATATCCTTTCTTTGTTTCTTCCAATCAGGCATGATAATAACTAAATACATGTAATAATTTTACATATAAAATGTTATAAAATTATCTTACAATGCTCACAAGAGGCAAATCTTAATAAACTTTCACGTCATCACTATCTCCAGAATATCCTGCAAGAAACATACATTCCAAATAATAATTTGATTACATTTATTTATTTTTATATTTGGTATTTTTCAGAAGGAAATTCTCATTTATGATTTATGTGCATTACAGCACCATGCACATGGAAGTTCATTTTCAAATTTAATCAACATGTCATTCTTAAAATGTCAAAAAGATAAATCTGTAAAGCTCATTTAATTTTTTTTAATGAAATAAAATTATTTTCTTGTGTGTGAATTTCTGTGGGATCATCACTGATGCGGATGGACATATCATTAAAAAAAAACATACAAAAAAAAGCACAGATTGTTGCAAAAGCCAACTTATTGAATTATAGTAAGTTACAAATTTACAATGAAGGGCTCGAAATAATTAATGGCCCACTGGACTGGGGCCAATGAATTTTTAATTTAGGCTAGTACATTGTGAGGGCATGTGTCCATTGGGTCATTGTTTATTATGTATACATGTAACAAAATTCATTTATGGTTGGACTAGTAACTAAACTTGTCGGGCAAAGTTCTGTCTTTTCTTGATTTGTTAAGTTAAACTACTAGTAAGTATCACAATATAAACAAAAAATATATCACTATTATTTTTTCATGGTTTTGGGCCAGTCTTTTTAAAATCTACTGGCCCTGTGGGACAGTTGAAGTACCCAGAGCTGACCAGGAAAAAATTTAAGGTGATAGCCCAATAGTGACCAGTGAAAGAAAATAATTATTTTTAGCCCTGAAATGATGTCACATTTTTATGCTACATAATATAGATTTTCTAAATTTAATAATTGTTTTATTTCTTCATGACTTTATATTATTAATTGTGTGGGGGTTTTTTCATACCACAAATTTACAATATGTAAATTATTTATTCTCTCAAACAAAAATGCAAAACATCACTGTAAATTATGTTTACATTGACAGAGGTCTTAAATAAATTATTTCAATATTACAGATTGATGCCTGCAATGTTACTGTATTACTTATACTGTTTCATTAGTTAGTTTTGGATGGACAATATTTTTATAAGAAAAAAAATCAACTAACTTAAAGTACATTGTATTCATAAGCTGAAAGTGGTAAACATGCAAGAAATGTTCCAGGATATCATAAACTGCATATGTGAAGTTTGGGTGTATTAAATCAATATTTGTGTCTGTAAATTCTGATATATGCAGCTGATATGTGAGAACTGCATGGCATCATCTCATCATAAATTCTGTAATAAATAAGAGAAGTAGCAAACATTTTCTTATCATTAGGTTCTATTGAAAACAGCATAATTGGTATAAATAACTGACAATATTAAAAGTGCAAAATGTAAACACCTGTAGAGGAAATTCGGCAGAGCTTGTGTGCATGTACTATGATATGGATCGAATTAAATTTTAGTCTCTTGATGTTAAAAAAAGACACAAGGTTCTCACAGATCACTGGGCAATCTCTGAATACACATAGCTTGTTCAGGAACGGACTATACCACACCTACATTTTCTCTTTAATTCAAAACATGCTTTTACGGCATTTTACAAACTTGCCCTTAAATATTTAACCATTTTGTGCTACATGTACATGTAATCGAAAAAATAAATCGACTTCTACTTAAGAGTGCTTTTGTTTCCTAAACCAGTGTATGTGTGTTCATCTTTACCGACACAACTACTCCCTTGCACGTGGAAAAATGTTTACAAAATCGAGAGGTGCAATTTTGACACTTTCATGTACAATAGCACGTGACAGAATGAGAAACTTCATACATACTTTCACTTTTCATGTAAAGAAACGTTTGTTTTTCAACTTTATGCAATTTAAAAACCTTGTAAATCGAGAAAACATAAAGTTTTACCTCTTTTTTCAAGTTGAATATTTCTCTCGATTTTCACCTCTCGCGTTTTGGTCTCATCTAATTCTCGAGAGTTCTCGCAAGGAAATCTGTTCGGACGTTTACGGATTTTGTTCATATTTTATGACGTTTATCTCCGAAAAGTTCCGATTTATGCAAATAAGGTTAGGAGGTGTGAATAACTGAACTGGAAGGAAAACCAAAATTTACAGAACCAACTTGACCCGAAAAATTTTGGAACCATGACAGCCCTACCTGTTTCTATAGATCAGCTATCCAGGTACTCAGTTGTCCATAGCAATCCCTTTAGAAACTGAGATTTCAATCTGGGCTTCAAAATTTTTCTCAGTTGATTTTAAAATACTACTTCGTTACCAGCACATTTTTTTTAGTGTCTATATTTCTCAATACTTATGATCCTTTTTTTTCTCTTTTGTGCATCACACACATAAAAATATACAGATATATGTACAGCCTGACATCAGTTACACGCAAGTTATAGAGCACCCTCTCTTTTCCATGACATTTGAGATAAACTCGGAATAAAAATACATGCAAATTTTATTTTGCAAGTTCCTGATATCTGAACAGAAAAAGACATGATGTGACAGCACAAAATGTTTGATCCTGACATGCCTTGGTCAACATCCACACAATGGAAAAATGTTCCAAGTGGGAATAATTGAGACATATACAATCAACTTTCAATTCAGAAAATTCAAAGAATGGTCCAAACAAAGTCTTAAATATCATTTAATATTAAATTTCTCAATACCAATTTCCTTGTTTAAAAATTACAAAAAATTGTCCTTACTTTTTTAAAGTTTATGTTCCCTTAATTAAAAAAAAAAGTCTTCAGTAATAGTATTCACAACACAGAAATTCCTTAGAGAACTTAAAACATTTGTATCAGTAAAGATTTTGCACCGTAAACAAACAGGCTTGTAATGTTATGACACACCCAAGACATCTATTTTCTACTTTAACAATGCACAATGAAAAATCATGAGAATCTGTGAGAATGAAATGTCAACAACTGTCTCATGGTAAAAAAGAATGATAACAATGAATTATGGTTTCCATGGCAGTTCACCCTTCCTCTTCCCCATCATCCCCCTCATCTTCACCATCTTCCTCTCCTTCACCTTCCTGTAAATAAACATACATGTATGTATATTGTTTTGTTTCTTAATATTTTTTTTGAAATTATATTTAATAAATTCTTAAGGCTTATAAATGCCATTCTCATCTTTTGAAAAATGCAAACATCAGCGTACTGTATGTCAAAATATCAAATGTGCATTTGAACTGTATTACAAACATGCTTTCCTCTATAATGTATTAAATGTTTCCATAATTACCTCCTCTTCACCTTCATAGTCTTCCTCATCTTCTTCATCCATCATGCCCTCCTCATCCATTTCATCTGAAGATTACATTTCACAAAATTATTAGGAAATTAAAAAAACAAACAAAAAAAAAAAACAAAAACAAAAAAATTCTTAATACAACTGAATAAATTATTGTTGATTCATCTGACTCACTGACTTTCATAAAAAATACTTGAATATTTCAGAATTGTATTTACATTAGCAAAGCAAGTAGGCTTTCCACATTTTAACCAAAAAAAATTTTTTTTTTTAAATATCATACACCCCAACGACCTACCTCCTCCATCCTCCTCTATTTCTGATGCCTAAAAATTAAAAAGAAAGAACTACTCAAAAATTGCTAAAAATGGCTGATCATTATCCTTTCATACTACAATTTTCAGTGTTTCTATTTTCTATAGTGTATCTATATATATCCCATTAGTTGCATAAAAATTAATCTTAAGTCACTTGGTAAAAAAATCTTTTATTAGACAATCTTTTAAGATTTTTTAAGTCAAATTTACCAAATAGTACTGCAGTGGGTTTGGCCAGATGTCATCTTTGATGACTTCCCCTAACTCATCAGCTCCAGCATCTCCATGGTCTGTGAACCAACAGAAAAAGGATTCTTGTTCTTCCACATTTCGTTTCCGCCCTCCTTTACTTGGGGTACTTGATTTCTTTGTGAGGTCCTATTAATTGAGGAATTAAAATTGCATCCAGAGAAACGTAAGTTTTAAAACAAGAGCAATGCAAATGTGGCAAAATATCCCACTTCAGGGTTGGGGATAGATAGTAATACTTCCATACATTAAAACTTTAATACTAGTGTTAATAGAATGACCATTGTCATGTTAACAAAGAAAAGGTTTATAATCACTACTTTTGGCCTACAATTAACAAATTTTCACTTTAAAATGAAGCATTGCATGTCATCAGTATTTCCCCATTTTGTCATTTTTTCTTTCAATTTAAAATTCTCAATTAAAAGGGTACTCTGTACAAAAATAAGGTCAATGTAACCTGGATTGTTACAGAACCTACCTTTCCACTTTTCCATTTAATGGGCGTTGACTTTGATGATGGTTCTCCTGTTTCATTCAAGTGAAATTCTTTTGATATAACGTCATTCTCAAAGTATTGGTTACTATCAAAATACTGAAACAGAAAGAGAGAATACAAATACTGAGTCTTGTTTTCCTTTCAAATTTCAGAGAGAAAAACTTACATTTAAAAGAATATTTATTTGCATAATATGCCATGTATTGCAATACTGTAATATATCTTTCTGAGGAAACTTCCTTTCTTTAAAATCTTTTTTTCAATGGAAAATTACCAATATTTCACAGGTTAATATTTCAGCAAGTCCAAATTTATTTTTATTTTATTATTGTTAATGATGTATTACTTTTTATAGTAAAAAATTTCAGTAGTAAGAATTCTGTTGGTGCAATTTCAATTTGTGATTTGCAAATTAATCTCCTAATCAAATGATGGCAAACTTCCCAATATGAAAAAATGCCCTGAAATCACCAAAATCCATTCAAACATTATACTCACAAAGTTTATTTTGTAACCAGATTTTATATCCTCAAACTCCTGAACTTCAACTTTTGTGAGAAACTGTAAGGCTTCTTCGTCCTCTTCATTTAATAGTGCAGATATTTGTGGATGGTTTACAAACTAGTGTATTAGTTAAAGTCAGTCAATTTCAAAGTTGTATTAAATACAAAGTCTTTCACAAATTGCAAAATATGAAGTCTGACATTATAAACAAATACAGAAATTACCTAATCTAAAATACCTTGACAATCAACAATTTACTACTGTATACAGGGTTAGTTCTGTCCTTTCACAATTCCAAACAATTTTGCCCCGATTTTAAAATCGTCCATGCACAATATTGCTTAAGAGATTATGATGTCTTCTTTGAATTCGCCAACTTGTAACAAGGATGAAAATAAAATGGGGATGAAATTTTCCTGCATACAGTATACATCACTTCACTGTTATATCAATATCAAAGAATAAATGTTTAAAACAAGTTCTCTCTGTATTTACAAAACAGTTATTAATTCAATGGTGTGTGGGGTCTTGCAATTTTTGTAAAGGATACAGAGGTTACCCAAAAGTTGGGTATTTTTGCTATTAGATCTGATCTTTTGGAGTAGTAAGGTTGTCGTAGCTTATTGTACTTTTGTTCAACTTTGAGAATTTCTTCACTGGCCTGTTCATTCAGTCTGTCTATTTCATTCTGAACTTCATCTATCTGTTCAATGGCCTCCTGTTGCTCTTTGTCTGTGAAAAGATTTTTTCCAAACCAAATAAAAACATTAAAGACAGGTTTTCAAAGAACATCATACTTTAATACAATAATATATATATACATACTAAATACAAAACAATCTAATCGAAGAGATGTTAGAATACTCAGTGTCCCCCCCCCCCTTATATAACTAGTACCGATAAAGAGTACCATTTCCAATGCCAAAAAATGTTAATTTTCCCAATTCTGAGACTCAAAATTATCAATTTAACTGCTGAGGAACAGACTATGATGACATTGTAATTCTTTTCATATGAAACATTGTACGAGTTAACGAAATCTTTTACTCTCTCTTAAATTGAAAGTAGAGATCAGTGGTAATATAGCCGGACACATTGTAGACAGCATAGTCATGCTAGTGTCTTACATATTTGAGAACTTGAAAGCATGACAACCAGGGCTAGAATTTTTTTTTTTTCACTGGTCACTTGGGCTATCACCTTAAACTTTTACTGGTCAACTCAGTACTTTCACCTTTTCTCTGGGCCAGCAGATTTTAAAAAAGACGACCCAAAACCATAATAATAATAGTAATAGTTTGTTTATATTGTTTTACTTAATAGTATACAACTTAACAATATGAAATGACAAAACTTGGATGCATAACCCTGTCAAGTTAACTAGCCCCACCATGAATGAATCTAGTTATGCATAAAAAAAAACACTGGCACAAAGGGCACATGCCCTCTACAATGCACTAGCCCAGATTTAAAATTCACTGGCCCCAGACCAGTGGGCCCTCAATTATTTCCAGCCCTGGACAACACGAGAACAAGGGAATATGATAAAAAATAAATACCTGATGATTATTCTTTAATGCGTGGATTTAAAGATAATGAGGTTAGAATAAACACAAAATTTCATTTTGTAGACATGACAGAAAATTCCCATTTGTTTGAGACTATTTTTCCAAATTGAATTGGTATCGGACCCATTCCCAATGGATAAAAAAAAATTGCTGAATACTGTCAAAATACAATGCATAAAAAAAAAAAAAATCACTTTTCAAATTGTGACTCGTTCAGGGCATGTGCAATTTAAGTTCACTTTTCTGAAAGTTTATGGCTATATAAACCAGTTACTCATCAATTGAAATTATATATATTTGAGGGCAAATTCTGGATAACAAGATAATCAAAAAGGTAATCATTTATTCTCTTTACTCTTTAGAGAAGTGGACAGGCTTTCACTAAGCAAAAGCCTGTCCACTTCTCCAAACTTGACACAATGTTAAGCTAATGTTTACAATAAAAAGTGCACTGTTACCAAACAATGGAATGTTCAAATGCAGCAATGTTTTACTTGTGACTTTTGTGTAATATTTTAATTGCTATGGTAAAAATGCCTCATCACATACTTGCGAATGGTCACTTTTTGTAATGAATAAAAACCTGCTTCTTTTGTTATTTTAATTTATAATGTAAGTATATGTTGTATTCAAGATACATCTAGCTTATCAAGAGATTGTGCCACCTGATCAAAATACATACGCAGGCCGGTTTAAACCGGAAGTGAATATAAATGACGTCACACAATAACATGAAATTTTGGAGCCAAAGATAGCGTAATTCACAATACAACGCATATCTTCTAAAATATTTGTCTAAAACTTAATCAACTATAACAGTAAATAAAGTTATACACGTTGTTTCAATTTCATACAAAATGCTAAAGCCCAAAACCCAGGCTAGTGATTCAACTTAATTCAACAAAAGAGAAGTCGCACATGGCTTACAATCGGAATGATGTATTATGGTATGGCAATGAATTTAAGTAAACAGTTACGTAAATCGCTACCATTGCACATTCAATACAACATTACATGACTTCCATACTCATTATTCTCTCACCAGCTTGTTCGTCCGCGTTATCATGATTGTTTTTCCCCTCTGGCTTGCTCACTTTGGCCGGAGTCGCCATGTTTTCAGGAGTTCATGCAAAAGGACATATTACGCATGCGCACCGGGAACATGCGCGCCAATTGGATTTCGATCCCGACTATATTTTTCTTTAAAACATTTCAATTTTATGTGAGATTCAAATTGCAAAACAATCCACGAAATATAAAACTTTGTGGTGTACAGAAAGGTACGAAAGCCGGATAGGCTCATTTTTGACAAGACAAAAAAAAATTAACTCGTTATAACGAGATAATTATCTCGTAATAACGAGTTAGTATCTCGTTATAACAAGTTAATATCTCGTTAAAACGAGTTAGTTATCTCGTTATAACGAGTAAGTTATCTCGTTATAACGAGTTAGTTATCTCGTTATAACGAGTTAGTTATCTCGTTATAACGAGTTAGTATCTCGTTATAACGAGTTAGGTATCTCGTTATAACGAGATAATTATCTCGTTATAACGAGTTAGTTATCTCGTTATAACGAGATAATTATCTCGTTATAACGAGATAAAAATTGATCTAGAATTGATATATCTAAGTAAAGAATAGACCATTATTTATAGGAAATATACAGAAGCAAGTCGATCAAATTTGTTTGAAGTGTGCGTGATAAAGATTTTATGGAACAGCATACTAGTTTTTTGTGTTATGCCTTTGATTAGTATTGTTTATTGGAAAGACCGAAGACAAATATACGGAAACTTGTGACCGCCTCATGTTGTGTTATACCTTAAAAGTGCAAAATAGAATTAGTGTCATCTTCAAATATAATAATATTTGTCGCAATACAAAATGCATAGAAATAATCCCATTATTTTAAATATTCCGAATAAATCATGTGGATATGAAACCATTTGTTAGGCTTTAACGATCATATTTTGATAATTCCTTGCCTGTTAACAAGGAATACCAGTTCAATTTTATCGTCTTAAAGGGGCAAGATCAAAATTCAATGTCTGACAAAAAACTAAATTCACGTTGTTTTTATCATCAATCCCTCCTTCCCCTCAATAATAAATATGATGAATATCAAGAACTAATACTGTACTTATCACTTAATAATTTATATATTTCTTCTGTTTATTAAAAGAAAGAAACATTTTAATTTACCAATTTGGCATGGAATCTTAAATTACAATATGTAATTTTTGCGTTATTATCAATGTGGTAGAATTAAAAAAACTTTTGGAGCTCTTTATTCTACGGAAGCCACGATAAAAGGTGAAGGTCAGCATTAGTAAAAACAGTTGACATGTGATCCTTTTTGGGTATAGAATGAAAGTTTAATATTTAAAGTTTACAATATGATAAGCATTACTTAAGGTGTATTTCAAGCATAAATTTTGCCAAGAAATGTGTATTGTATGTTGAGACAGGATTTTTGATATTTTCACTCGTGCTTCGCACTCATGAAAATATAAAAAAAAATTCCTGTCCCACTCGTGAAATAAATTCCATATCAACTATAAAACATTGAATATCCTCTATTTATTACCCCCCCCCCAAAAAAAAATCATCAATCTCTTTTTGAAATAAAAATTATATGCTTGTAAAGAATACATAATAAATATTGTGATGAGGAAAATAATTAACGACATTGCTTCAATGTTGTATTAATAATATAAATGTACATATGTAATATTAGGCCTATTCGTTGATCAATCCTAAGTAAAAAGATTATAAAAGTGAACTGGCTTTGTAAACTCTGTAAACTTTTTTTTTATTTTGTAAACTCTGGTTTGACGTTCTGACACTATGTGGTAAACATATAGGATCCGCCAAATAGACGTGAATCTCAAATAGGTCTCCGTGAATCTCCACAACTTGGACCCCCCCCCCCCCCCCCCCGCGCAAAAAATATAAACAGTGAATCATGACAGAATATTAAATAAAATGTCAATATCAGCAGATCAGATTTAACGTCTTATTACTTAAAAGGATGTAATATCATTTTTGCTTCACCATTCCTCATTATCGTGGACAATATGCATAAGCTAAGTCACAAAGTTCAATGGGGGGGGGGGGGGGGGGTTAAACCAAGTGAAATATTTGACAAGTAAAAAGAAAAAAAAAATAGATTTGATATTCCAACTACGAGTATTCGCCATTATTTTCGGGAGATATTTACTCAGGTAATAAAAATATGGAGGAAGGGGCACAAAGATACTCTTGACCGCCCCCTTTTCAAAAGTGGTGGTGTGGACATTAGCCCCTCTATTACTACGCCTATGATCTAACTGCTGATGTCTCACCATCCCCCGTCTTCAAAACATTTCTGAATCTCAGAAGTAACATATGTATAACACTGTAATCTATATATTATATGTTGCATAAACGATATGTTGCACTTATATTGTCTCTGATATTTTATTTTAGCGGTATAGAAATTGATATATGAAAGTGTATAAGTCGTCCAAAACATATCGAAATAGTGTCATTCATCAGAAATAATTGTCATAAATAAATTGCCAAAGTTTGAAGCAAGTATGTTTGGCAATATTATTTTAAGAAAAACATCGCGTCCTAATGCAACAATTTGAGGAGGAGTTCACGAAAATGTGTAAATGTGTTCGCCTTAGAGTTGCTATGATTATTGACAGCGAAATAGTTCAAGATTTAATCATAAGTCAACCCCAGAGCAAATTAAATTTTCAACCATTTATCAATTGTTCAAGTTAAATTTGACTGATAATTACTTGCTAAAAATTCAATGGCATTTAAAACTGCAGCCATTTTTATTCCTATATTGCTATTAAGTCTCAAAATAACAAGAAAACTGTCTCGTTATAACGACATAACTTACTCGTTATAACGAGATAATTATCTCGTTATAACGAGATAATTATCTCGTTATAACGAGATAACTAACTCGTTATAACGAGATAACTAACTCGTTATAACGAGATACTAACTCGTTATAACGAGATAACTAACTCGTTATAACGAGATACTAACTCGTTATAACGAGATAATTATCTCGTTATAACGAGATACTAACTCGTTATAACGAGATACTAACTCGTTATAACGAGATAACTAACTCGTTATAACGAGATATTAACTCGTTATAACGAGATAACTAACTCGTTATAACGAGATAACTAACTCGTTATAACGAGATACTAACTCGTTATAACAAGATAACTATTCCGTTATAACGAGTTAATTATTTTTTTATCTTGTCAAAAATGAGCCTATCCGGCTTTCGTAGAAAGGGAAAGTTGGGGGTTATTTTGTATTTTGAATCTAACAAGAAATTCAAAAGGGAGATAATTATATTTTTATATTGTCTTTTTGATAGCTACGTAGAGTAAGAATTTATTAATTATTATTTTAAACCTGTGATATTTGTCAAAGCTGTTGACATAAATTGCCTTATACAACCCATAGAGGATAGCACTGATTAGCATTTATTGAGTCCACCCTAAATCTAGACCGTTAGCTATAGTTATAAGGATTTCTTACCTTGATCATGATTAAATTTTTAAGCCCAAGGGCTGCAAAAATGATGCTAGCTTTCTACGATATAGGATCAAGTCTCTATTATAGTTTGCTAAAGGGATATGGTTTTAGGATGATGTGTTGACTATTCATATATTGTTTTGTGTGTTCTTTATTGTCCGCCCTAATATTAGGATACCATTAAAGATTTTTTTTTATCAAACTTCTGCATGTGTTCATTAAAATGAGTACATAGACGTATGATTTATCTAAAGAAAATCTAATAACAAATGAAAATTTCAGCTTTCTCGAGAGCGCCCATTATTTTTATTTTTTTTAAAAAAAAAAATAAAAACGCTTTGTCCACGATTTTTACCGGACAACCCCGTATAAGCCATTTAAGGTGCCCCCACCCTTACACTTTCAAAGTAGAAAAACTGCATTAGTTTCCACTTAATATAAGTTTAATATATAATAATAACATTAATAATCACAGAAAATGTATAGGTCGCCACCTTTTTTTAAGATATCAGACATGAATAAGCAGAGGTATATGTCAGCTGAAAAAGAAATGCACATTTTTGGTAATCAGACATTATTAAAATCGTAGAAAAACTGGTTCAAGTTCCACGCAAGTTCAGTTTATTCACCCAAACCAACATATTGGTACGTGTACATGAGATGGCATAATCTTAACATTGAAAGTTTCAACTAGATTTTCTGTATCATGGAAACCATTTAACAATATATGTATTATTAAGAAAATGCATGAACAAAGAAACATAGAGTAAATGTCCTTTGTACAATATCTAAGGAATAAATAATTGATTAATTATGGATAATGTATTTTTTAGGAATTTTTTTAAAAGGAATAAGTAATTGATTAATTATAGATAGTGTATTTTTTTAGGTCACCTGAGCCACTCAGGTGACCTATTACTATCTGTTTTCGTCCGCCGTCGTGCGATGTGCGTTAACATTTAACATCTCTAACATCTTTAACAAATCTAATAACAGCCAGACCCGTAGAAAGCAATTTCTGTTTGAGGACACCTGAATACAGAATTGAATTTTATGACAACAACAACAACAAAGATCATCAAAAGTTATTATTGAGAGCTGCTAACACAAATGAAAGTTACTTTTGTTTTCTAATTTATAGTATATGTTGCATGGCAAAATTGTTGGGGGCACGTCTTCCCCTCTTCTGTGCCCATCCGGGTTCCCACGGGCTTTTTCAGAGGTTTTCGGTTTCTGAGAATATTTAATACAACTAATTCAACTTGTAACAGTTATCTCTCATAGAATACATTCTATACGGACAATGTAAATACAAACTGATTTTTTTTTTTAAATTCCTGGACATTCGGGAAAAACCCATTTGATTTCATTCTTTTTGAATGTATGATGCAAGTATGCGGTTTGAAACAACGTTTAAAAATCCAGAAACTACCTTGCTCATTTTTTTTTATACAAACGCCTCTGGATACTACGAATATTGTCACCAGAGGCGTCCGTGCTACATCACATACACCTTCGACGTCATGTTTCATACCTGGTATTTACCATGAGGTGTCGTTTTGGTATTTACTGCCATTAAGTGATATCACCTACTCGAATAGGTAATACCTATTCAATTGGTGATAT